TGCTTTAAGCTAGCAGACGGTAACCCAATAATCAGCTGGAAATCGAAGAAACAGGGAATGATTTCACTTTCTACTTGTGAAGCTGAATATATTGCATTGTCAAAAGCAACACAAGAGGCTATTTTTCTTAAATTACTGTTGAAGCTTGAATAAGCATGGAATAATAATAATACAACACAAAATGTACGTAACAAAATGTATTGAAACAATGAAAAAAGGTACACAATATTTACAGGTAGTTTTGGTATATTCTTGGGAAGACTGTTCCTGCAGAATGGGTTGACTAAGTCGCAGTCGGGCAGAGTCTCTGGATTCGATCTCTTAATCTTCCCCCGTCTTCCGGTACCAACCCATATTTATATGGTCGGTACTCCACTTATGTAAATTAGGTGTATCATACACAACAATTACTAATAAAAGCAATTACAACACTGGTAATAACTGAGCCAATAATTATTTACTGCGACAATCAGGCCAGTATTGCTTTGGCCAGAAATCCAATAATACATCAAAGATCAAAGCATATCGATATCAAATATCAATTTGTTAGGGACCAAGTACAAAAGAAAACGGTACAAATTGAATATGTTCAATCGGGAAATAATATGGCGGATTTATTTACAAAACCAATTACAAAATTCAAATTACGGGCTTTCACTTCTGCCATATTTGGTACTGACCTCTAACGTCCTGGGCAAGACGTAAAACTGCATCCATTAAGTACCTCTTAGGTCCTTATTAGTCCTGGGTAGGACGTAAAACTGCATCCATGAGTTATTGTCTTAAGAAACGTCAGTTCAGTTTTTGGCATGAATGCGAGTCCTTAGTTTCGGGGTATAAATGTAAATAGTCCGACTTTTAGCCCAATCCTCTTCTAATGACCCTCAGGATCACTCTGACCCGGAGTGATAGTGACTGTTTTAATGGGTCCCAGCTATGGGTAAAATAGCAATTTTTCACTTTTTTACTGACTCTCAGGATCACTCTGACCCGGAGTGATAGTGACTGTTTTAATGGGTCCCAGCTATGGGTAAAGTAACAATTCTTTCCAATGTTTTGTTGTGATCACAACCCAAACTTATAATATTATTGCTAATGTTTATTCATCTGAATACTTAACTGTGGACAAAGTGATATGACTAATTTTTGTGGATATTAATTTTCTTTAATATATATATATATATATATATATATATATATATATATATATATATATATAAAATAAAATAAAAAGAATATAAAATAAATAAAATAAAAATAATAAAATGTATTTTATGAAAGCGGAATACTGAAGTATTTGTTACATATTAATATTGACTTTACTAATATTTTGAAGGAAGATTCCATAATATACCCAAAATAAGGAGGGTGTTACAGTTTTTTGTGTATATGTATGACTGGTGAGTTAGCTCAAATGACTTAACTCCCTTTATAGTCTGCCAATAGAAGGTTAACCAATCAGAAGACGTAGAACATTCAATTCGTCGTGTATAAAGGCGGCCATTTTTGTTCACTCTACCCGCATGTCCAGTCCAGCTTGTCAGGCGAAGAGAACCAGAAGGACGAACTATGCTCTGCTACTGTTATCCACTGCTAACCTGAGCAACGCTTTCCTAATGTCTTCGAAATATTCACTGCTAAGCTCTGGATTCTATACACGAAGACGACCGTCATTATGAACAACAATGTGTGTGTGTGTGTGTGTGTGTGTGTGTGAAGAAATATAGTTTAAGGTGTGCTATATTTATAGAATAAAGTGCTCAATATTAGAGTTAGAGCGTATGTAAATATAAACATAAAAGTGAATATTGAGGTTTTTTTTAGGCGGCATGACGATTGCGTCCAGCATGAAACAGCCTGTCGCCTGTAAGTGTTGACTTCAATGTTCACTTATATATATATATATATATATATATATATATATATATATATATATATATATATAAACAGAGAAGCAGCAGGTATGGTTGGCGAGACCTAATGCATATTTAAAATGGAGACAGTTGAAATCTGCCTTCTGTAAAAACTGCCACAAAACTTACCGCATTTTTAGCTCTTCACACCTGTCCGACACAAGTTACGCTGCAGGCTGAAAATGTGTTAATTTTGGGGGATCCATTTTATAAGGGAAAAGAACTTGGAACTGTATTTCATCGAGTCTTTTGAAAACAAATACTAACTCCCTTTAGACTGAATTTGATTCTGTTTAACCGTCGGCAAGCTCCATAACTTAATCTATTTTTCTGCTATGGTTAAGTGTGCATTCAGCTACAAGTGGCGTGCGTTGTTTTAGTCATAAGTAAATTTTCACACTTAAAAATAATGAGGACTTTTACTCTTTATATTTAAGTATCTGCTTCCAGTAATAATATTGCTTAAAAGAGAAATTCTGTATAATAATTACATTAGAAAGTCGAAAAAGTGTCAAACTCCGAACTGGCTTATAACTAGATATAAAGATTATTATGCATTAATATCAAACTCTTGAGTCACTTTCCTA